TAGCTGATTGATATCGCGTTATCGACAGACCAAGGGCGACAACTGGCACACAACAGCCGTTTCTGTGTATTTCGACTGCATATTAGTAAAATCCTTCAACTCAAGCTGGCAACAATGAGTGAGTGAGTTTAGTTTTACGCCGCACTCATCAATATTCCAGCTTTATGGCGTCAGTCTGTAAATAATCGAGTCTGGACCAGACAGTCCAGTGATCAACAGCATGAACATCAATCTACGCAATTGGGATACGATGACATATGTCAACCAAGTAAGCGAGCCTGACCACCCGATCCTGTTAGTCGCCTCTTACGACAAGCATTTTACTCATGACCAATTCTAACCCGGACCTTCACGGGTCAAGCTGGCAACAGTTGTGGGATGCTAGGACTGCCGGCCGACATGTACTCAGTTTGTCCTTATGTGAAATCAAATAGGACAATTCGTCGACGTAAGAAACGCGACGAAGCCACACTCACTGGACTTGTGGTTTAAATGCTTACCACAGAGTCACTGATGAAGAGGTGTCTCCTGTATGTACACATTGTGACGGAAATACTCCCGAGACAGTGGAACATTATTGAATGACGAGGCCACAATGATATCGGATTAAATTTAGAAGTGCGGTATTTCAGAAGGAAAGCTAATTTTCTCTAAGTACACGTTGTGGCCCAAACATGTTTTATTGTTCAGTTCAGCGAGCCATATTAGACTTCGTGTCTGCATCGGGAAAATATGATACATTATAAAATGTGATAAACACATAGATTTGTGTTGACTTTTAAACCATTTTAACTGTTAATCCGTTACTGATCTGCTTTTTTATTGAACGAGTTCTTACGTTTCAGAAGTGAAAGAGTAATTACTTGCGGTTTTAAAATATAAACTATATCATGTAGCAGATTGACTAAACATCTCATTTGCATTACTATCTTTGTTCTTGTTTAAAGTCGTTTGATGCGTTGGGCGCAAATAGACCTTTAAAGACCCAAGTTGCCCTTAAACCCAAATACCATACCATACCATACCATAAACCATACCATACCATACCATACCACCGTTTCTGTGTGTTACGAAACCAGAGTAATAACTACCTCTCAAATTGGAGATGAGCTTCACAGAGCAACAGGTGTTAGAGTGAGTGGAGTAATTTTCTTCACAGATGTTATCCCACGGTCGACGGACCGTCACATTACAGCCTGACGTCGTTGGTGTCAAGACCGGCAGCGCTAAACCAGTCGTTGCTGGGCAAACGTTATGTTTTCTTATGAATCAAAGTTTTCTTTGGACTTCCTTGACAGACGCCACAGAGTGTGGTATAATTGGAATTAGCGTTCTTGTGCCATTTACGTTACAGAGACCGATCTTTTGAGGGGAGGGGCACGTATTGTTACACATATCTCCAGCGGGACCACTGCATCATGGTCGTTAGTCGGTCCAGACCCGTCAAGCACCGAACACGAAGTTGGGGATCTCCTTGGATGGCGCGTCAACAACCGTCAACAACAACCGTCAACAACAACCAAACACAACGAATGTCCTGTTACAGTCCCTGTTTCACTGTTAAACTATTTTTCTTATTAAAGATATACATATTAATAGATGTGACACATTATTTAGAATATCTTCTCCCCTTTTGTATAGGGGGCTGGAGGGGTAGATTAGTGGTTAAAGCGTTTGCTCGTCACGCCGAAGACCCGGGTTCGATTCCCCACATGGGTACAATGTGTGAAACCCATTTCTGGTGTCCCCCGCCGTGATATTGCTGGAATATTGCTAAAAGCTGCGTGAAACTAAACTAACTAATTCACTCACTCACTAAGGGTAACACGTGCTGTTTGCGTGAACATACATGGCCATAACACTGAATGTACGGCCGAGCATGACATCTACGATAACTTACATTGCAATGCCCATGATACATGGTGGTTGTCAGCTGGCATCATCGTCGGTCATCCGGTGGGGAGAACCGTACCGGTTGGCAGCGTCAGATGTTTGAGTTTGACTTTCGAAGCGACTGAAGAAGATACAAACAAGCGTATCAGTTTACAAATCCGATATCTTGTCCTTGAAAAATCTACTTCGGTGTGTTGTTCTGTAATGTTTTATTGCCAGTTTCACAAGCGTTGTTTTCGTCAACTATTTTGACATTTTCAGAAGATGCACCCAGTGACGGCGAACAAGAATATCACACTGGACCTCCCTGTCTGTTACGAGTGCTCGGCTATCTAGTCAACAGCTCACTTGGACACTTGTACGTAGACACCTCGCTTACAGGGCGAAAATAACGAAATATTAGGATAAGTTTATGCGTTTAAATACATTTGTAAGTGTATATAATTTTGTCGTTTACATACATCTCAGTTGCTGCATCGTCGGTGTTCATCAGTTTACCCTTCAAATACATCAGTTTGCCCTACAAATACATCAGTTTGCCCCTTCAAATACATCAGTTTACCCCTTCAAATACACCAGGTTGTCCCTTCAAATATATCCATTTGCCCCTTCAAATACAACAGTTTACCCCTTCAAATACATCAGTTTGCCCCTTCAAGTACATCAGTTTGCCCTTCGAATACATCCGTTTGCCCCATGAAATACATTAGTTTGCCCCTTTAAATACATCAGTTTACCCCTTCAAATATATCCGTTTGCCCCTTTAAACACACCCGTTTGCCCTTACAAATACATCTGTTTGCCCCTTCAAATACAACAGTTTGCCCTTCGAATACATTCGTTTGCCCCATGAAATACATCAGTCTGCCCCTTTAAATACATCAGTTTGCCCCTTCAAATACATCCGTTTGTCCCTTCAAATGCTTCATTTTACCCCTTAAAATACATCCGTTTGCCCCTTCCAATACATCCGTTTGCCCTTCCAATACATCCGTTTCCTCCTTCAAATACATCCGTTTGCCCCTTCGAATACATTTGATTGCCCCTTCAAATACACCAGGCTGCCCCTTAAATACATCCGTTTCCTTCTTCAAATACATACGTTTGCCCCTTCAAATACATCCGTTTGCCCTTTAAAATACAACAGGTTGCCCCTCAAATATATCCGTTTGCCCCTTCAAATACATCAGTTTGCCCCTTCAAATACACCAGGCTGCCCCCTCAAATACATCCGTTTGCCCCTACAAATACAACAGTTTGCCTTTACAAATACATCAGTTTGCCCTTCGAAAACATCCGTTTCCCCATCAAATACATCAGTTTGCCCCTTCAAATACATCAGTTTGCCCCTACAAATACATCATTTTGCCCTTTTAAATACACCAGGTTGCCCCCTCAAATATAGCCTTTTGCCCTTTCAAATACACCAGGTTGCCCCCTAAAATATATCCGTTTGCCCCTTCAAATACATCAGTTTGCCCTTTCAAATACACCAGGTTGCCCCCTCAAATATATCCGTTTGCCCCTTCAAATACATCAGTTTGCCCCTTCAAATACACCAGGCTGCCCCCTCAAATACATCCGTTTGCCCCTACAAATACAACAGTTTGCCTTTACAAATACATCAGTTTGCCCTTCGAAAACATCCGTTTCCCCATCAAATACATCAGTTTGCCCCTTCAAATACATCAGTTTGCCCTTCGAATACATGCGTTTCCCCATCAAATACATTAGTTTGCCCCTTGAAATACATCAGTTTGCCCCTTCAAATACATCAGTTTCCCTCTTCAAATACATCCGTTCGCCCCTTTAAATACATCAGTTTGCCCTTTCAAATACACCAGGTTGTCCCCTCAAATATATCCGTTTGCCCCTTCATATACATCAGTTTGCCCCTTAAAATACATCAGTTTGCCCCTTCAATAACATCAGTTTGCCCCTTCAAATGCATCAGTTTGCATTAAGGTTAGCCTTAGTGACTTACGATGACATAAGTGCTTTGTGAATATTTATTCCGTATTTAGTCGTCGTTTTGTGGACGTGTCGCACCAGTACTGAACTTGGAGAACCATGTTTGAACACACACGGGAATATGGATCAATCAAAACAAGCCCCTGATCTGTCAAAATAGGCTTCCTCACAAATTCAAGTTTATAGCCGTAAAACAATGGGCCTTTCATGCTCCATTAAACATGTACCGGCGGAGGAAGGTGTGCACTGAAGCATGACGTGACTGGGTAGAGAACATGGGAGACAAGTCCAAAATCTAGGCCTTAATTCTGAAGTTCAAATGCTAAACCGTGAGAGAATACAAAAACTCACAAGTTCGTCTAATAAACCATATCTATCTAAATGTAAGGTAGACCATTTTACCACTTCTACCTGTGTCTGCCAGGTAGACCATTTACCAGTTCTGTCTGTGCACGTCCGTGAGATCTAAGTGTACGTAGATACAAAGTATACCTGTCTACCAAGGTATCGCCATGTACGTGAGATCTGAGTGCACGTAGATACAAGGTACACCTGTCTGCCAAGGTATCGCCATGTACGTGAGATCAGAGTGCACGTAGATACAAAGTATACCTGTCTACCAAGGTATCGCCATGTACGTGAGATCAGAGTGCACGTAGATACAAAGTATACCTGTCTACCAAGGTATCGCCATGTACGTGAGATCAGAGTGCACGTAGATACAAGGTACACCTGTCTGCCAAGGTATCGCCATGTACGTGAGATCAGAGTGTACGTAGATACAAGGTACGCCTGTCTGCCAAGGTATCGCGAAGTACGTGAGATCTAAGTGTACGTAGATACAAGGTACGCCTGTATGCCAAGGTATCGCCATGTACGTGAGATCTGAGTGTACGTAGATACAAGGTTCACTACACTGTCCAAGCAGCGCCGTGTCAATCAAATATATTTTACCCAGTTCTACAGAACAACAGTGAGAATGCAAACATTGTGTCTTCTAACAAGATCGTTAATATTGTATCGCCCCGAGCGTTGAAATTGTTTGCATTGCTACAATGTTATGTTTCTAGGTGATGGCAGCTGTTAAGGAGAGTGATGTTGTGTTTCATATGCTAGCATCAGCAATGAAGCGTCGTCACCTCTAGTGTGGGGTAGCATACCGCCTTCGACAACCGTCGTCGCTACTGGTATGGGATAGAATACCGACCTCGACAACTGTGTAATGACTGGACGAAGCGGTGGTCAATCTGGTAAGTAAGGGCCGATGGTTCAAGATTGTGTGTTTAGAGTGGGGCTTTCTGTGTCAGAGGTCACAGAGATAGGTAAAACATCTCTGTATTATATTTGTGAAACATTGAAAGTCAGGCTATAACTATGTTTTCCCTTCACCCGACCTTGCCGTCAGCTCCTCGCGTTCACTCAGAGGCCATGTACCGGGCAGTCGAAGGGTCAAGTCAGATGACGCTTCAAGGTTTCCTCGCAAGTGATGTTCCGTAGATCTCAGCGCAGATCAGTGGTCTGTAGAGAGTGTTGCTCCGTAGATTTAGGTGCTGAGCGCTATTCAGTAGATTTAAGTACAGAGCAGTGTTCCGTAGATCTAAGCACAGAGTGTTGTTCTGTAGATCTATGTACAGAGAGGTGTTCTGTAGATCTAAGTACAGAACGGTTTCCGTAGACCTAAGTACAGAGCGTTGATTACACAATGCCATTTAGAAAGTGGTCAAATGTAACATATGTTATATTTGGGATTACACTTTCTTAGTGAAGTACCAATTCTAGTACATTTTGAGTTGAGCCCCATCCGGGATTCGAACTCACACCCTCAGAGTCAGTCAGGTTTCCGTATATATAAGTACAGAGCGATGTTCCGTAGATCTAAGTACAGAACGGTTTCCGTAGATCTAAGTATAGAGTGGTGTTCCGTTGATCTAAGTACAGAGCGTTTCCGTAGATGTATGTACAGAGAGATGTTCAGTAGATCTAAATACACTGTGTTGCTCTGTAGATCTAAGTACAGAGCGGTTTTCTTTAGATATAAGTACAGCGTGGTGTTCCGTAGATCTAAGTACAGAGCGGTGTTCCGTAGATCTATGTACAGAGCGTTGTTCAGTAGATCTAAGTACAGAGCGGTGATCCGTAGATCTAAGTACAGAACGGTGTTCCGTAGATCTAAGTACAGAGTGGTGTTCCGTAGATCTATCTACAGAGCGATTTTCCGTAGATCTAAGTACAGAGCGGTGTTCCGTAGATCTAAGTACACTGTGTTGCTCCGTAGATCTAAGTACAGAGCGGTTTTCCTTAGATATAAGTACAGAGCGTTTTTCCGTAGATATATGTACATAGTAATGTTCCGTAGATCTATGTACAGAGCGGTGTTCCGTAGATCTATGTACAGAGCGGTGTTCCGTAGATCTTAGTTCAGAGCGGTGTTCCGTAGATCTAAGTACAGAGCAGTGTTCCGTAGATCTATGTACAGAGCGGTGTTCCGTAGATCTATGTACATAGTGATGTTCCGTAGATCTATGTATAGAGCGGTGTTCCGTAGATCTATGTACATAGAGATGTTCAGTAGATCTATGTACATAGTGATGTTCCGTAGATCTATGTACATAGAGATGTTCCCTAGATCTATGTACATAGTGATGTTCCGTAGATGTATGTACAGAGCGGTGTTCCGTAGATCTATGTACATAGTGATGTTCCGTAGATCTATGTACAGAGCGGTGTTCCGTAGATCTAAGTACAGAGCGGTGTTCCGTAGATCTAAGTACAGAGCGGTGTTCCGTAGATCTTAGTACAGAGCGGTGTTCCGTAGATCTAAGCAAAGAGCAGTGTTCCACAGGTCATTGTCTGTAGAGTGAGTGAGTGAGGTTAGTTTTACAATGCTTTTAGCAATATTCCAGCAATATCACGGCGGCGGACACCAGAAATAGGCTTCACACATTGTACCCATGAGGGGAATCGAACCAGGGTCTTCCGCGTGACGAGCGAACGCTTTAACCACTAGGCTACCCCACCACCCCAGTGGTCTGTAGAGAGTCTTGCTCTGTAGATATATGTACAGGGCGCTATTCAGTAGATCGAAATCCAAAGCGTTATTCCGAGGGCCCAAGTACAGATACACTGACAAAACGCCAGTACAGTTCATGTTTGGGATATGCTACCGCTTGGCTAAGATATTGTAACTGAATATAAAACCTATGTTAAACTGAACTGCGAGGTAAATACATTTGCTCCACAGTGTATTTCAAAGATGATTTTACAAGCCAACAGTGGACAGCTTGTTGCTATTAACCCCGTTTCTAAGATGCCTAGCTGTTAGAACAATCGAAAAAAAAATACATTATGAGACAATAAAGGTATAGTTTTTTGATGACGTAACAATTGAATGACGTTATCCTGTCACCACGCCATTCTAGTGTGCCCCCTCGTAATCGAATTATTTTACATTACGTCACAATGTAAGTGACGTCACGATGTATGTCAGTTGTCATCGCCTCGCACGGCCTCCTACAGGAAACTACTCCGTTGCATCCCGTTTCTTGGTTTGCAGTTGCTTCACGCAGCTAACATCACTGGCGGAAACATTACGTTTATGTTTTACGACGGTTAAAATGTGTCAATTCGACTCACAGGTTTTCAGCGACACGGTAATGTTCGCAATGTTTACATTCCCACAATGCAATCGTGGAATGTCGCTTGACTACTCCGCTTCATCTGGATGTACTGATCCAAACTTACGTTGGTAGAAGAAATGCGACGTTGATATTGCCCCATATGATTTACGTTAATGACAGATGTAATTAAAATAATTCAGAGAAGATATTTAATCCGAACGTAAACCGTCATCAAACTGTTATCATTTGTTTTTTCTGGTAACGTTCGTCTTAACGTAGGGGGGCAGACACATCAATAGAACAGCGCACCAGTTAGCCCTGTGCGAGGATTCTTAATTTAGGTCACCGACACCGTCATTTGTTTTCTGCCTTAAATTAATTGTAATTATCCTTAGAAAGTATTAAATTTAGCATCTTAGAAAGATGTAGAGTTCGCGTTTCTACCCCAATGTGTTTTTTAATAAAGAGTATGGTTTGCCCTGAACTATTATAACATCAAAGCACTCGGACTACCATTTAATTATAATAGTTCAGGGGAAAACTATACTTTATTACAAACTTACGTAGAACTTTATTTCTTAAGTAACGCACATTTGCCTCATATTATGTCCGCAATAGGTACCAAAAGGAGACGAATACGCTGGTAGAGTTATATCCATTTTGCACCAGAAGAAATAAAGTAGTTCTTTAAAGTCCTTAGCAGTGGTATCACACAGTACACTCTCCTACCCAGAGTTCCATGCGGCCAGCCAACATAGTACCTCTGCCACAGGCCAAAGAGATGTGACGATTCCTCACATCTTGCACGGTCCATTCAATACATTGTACATATTTCTTAACGCTTTCATTTATGACGAGTCTACACATCTACTTAAACATCGTTGTTAGAATGGTTTAGTTTCACTGAGAAAATATCCTAGAACGTGTAACACTATTTCGATTTGCGTAGCGATCCTTTGTTTACATGGGTTGTACGGCTCCACGTGCTGTCATCGAAGCCTTAGGGTGAGCAAACGATGCATCCAGTTTGATATATAAATATGTATTGTCATAAACCTTACTGTCGCAGTTGTAGAATATTATTTATGTAACAATGTAAAGCATTGTGAAGACCGCGCCAAATCGCTTGCGTTGGGCTAGTATCTCCTTACTTACGAATATGCGCGTTTGTTTACAAACAAGAGAAAAAAGTCCGGTCACGTGATATGCAAATTAGCCTGTGGCAGTGATGTTATGCTAAGTCATCGCTGCGCCGGAGTGTGCATTCAGTGACAACCTGGTCACTGTTTACGTCCTGATGCCGTACAGATGGAGTGGGTGGGGGCCCAGACATGCATGATGCTGTCAATCGTTGTGATCAGTTTAGTCTCTTGGGAACAAATCGGTGGCTCTGTGTTCGAATCCTCGTTCGCGCCGGTTGTGTTTCCAGGTTTTCACGGTGGTGGTGAGCGTTTGAGACTTGCATTACCTCGGGCTTTTCCCCCATGCTAAACAGACCATCGTCATTAAACTGGAATAGTCACTCGCACACTTATTAATGGCGCACGGCAATGCTTCCATATCGCTTGATATAATGTACTATCATAGGCGCCTGACTCTGATATATTTATAAGTATGACCTATATATATAATATATAAGAAAGGTGTGTCTAAATCGAAACAAAATGGCGGCTCGGCTCGGCTCGGTTTCGGTCTGACAAACGCTTCCATCGCTTTGACCGTTGAATAAACTGCACAATTTATGCTCAATTGACCTCTTTAAAGTACCTTGCGTATCACTAACCTGGTGATTTTATTCTCATTTAAAGCTTTCAATAATTTTGCCGTCCATTCTCGCACGAAGTCAGGACATATGCCCGGAAGTAAACAAATCTCAGGCTACAGACCCGCACCGAATATTAGAGCGAGTCTCTGATTGGTTAGCGTCTTCTATTATTCCCACCTCTTTTAACGAGCAACTATATTATCTAATCAGAGACTCGCTCTACTATTCGGTGCGGGTCTGTAGCGGGTCTAACATGTGGTTGACACATGTCATCGCATCCCAATTGCATACATCGATGCTGATGCTGTTGATCAGTGGTCTGGTCCAGAAACGAATATTGACAGACCGCCGGCATATAACTGGAATATTGCTGAGTGCGGCGTTAAACAACAAACCAACCAACCAATGTTCAAAATCTGAATATTATTGATTTCAATAGTCTGAAACATATTCAACTTTTGTCTTCGTCTTTGGAAGACAGAGCGAGACACATCTCTGACGGAGTATTGTTGTGACCTGTGAACCGGTTATATCCCGAGAGTTTGGGCCAGTGTCCTGTCCCCCCCGATTGACCCCCAACACCTGTACCCTTCCTGTCACTTCCTCCCACACTAACTGCTGTGTGTGTCCAGTAAAAGCTGCCCCCTGACAGTCAACAGTTGAGTTGATTCAGGATACACAGCTCGCCAATGTCAACTCGGCTAGGAACCAGCACACAGATATAACCCCCGTTGTCTCTGCCAGGATTACTGCCGACTACAAACAATGGCCTTTCAAAAGCTGGAAATAGAACTTGCTCATATTTTTAGAAGGTTAAATGTTCATTGTCTCCAGACAGACTCATTACCCCGGGGGACAACTGTCTCCA